CCTCCGGCCCGAGGGTCCGGCCTCTGGTCCCGAGGCCTTCTTACCTGGGCCGCTAGGCCAAGGGCGTTTAGCCAGGCCCCCAGGGGCCGAGAAACCGCGGCCCTGGACCCTCTGCACACTGGAACGCATCGAGCGCACGCGTTGGCGTCCGCGGTCGCGGAGCCACGGGATCGCGGGGCACCGCTCCCCGGCGGGGGCGCACGCGGTTGGCGCACTGGGTGCGGGCCGGGAGTGGGCCCCCTCGGGAGGAGGGATGAGCCCCGCGGGGAAGGAGGGGCGGGAGGGGGCCCGCTCTGACCGCCTGGCGCGCGGCCCGGGGTCCCCAGGGACGTGCCTCTCTGCGGGCCGGCGGCGCCGCCGCCCTCCCCCTACGGGACCCCGCACACTGGAGTCCTCGAAGTCTCTGTCACCAGCGGCTCTCAGAACTCTTCTCACTCGGGCTGCTCTGGGCTGAAAGCCTCCAGCGAGAGAAATCTTTGTGAGCGAGTGGGTGAGAGCTAGAGGGAGCGGGAACCAGTGAGTACGGGCACCGCCGGCCCATATTTTCGGGGGGGTCCACTGGGAACCCGCAATCCGAGAAACCCTCTTTCTATAGAGGGCTCCTGGCCTCAGGCATTCTCCGGCCCCCCTCACCCAATGCACACCCCCGCCAGGATACGACTCCACATCCAGACCCGCTCTGGGACACACCCAGAGACACACAAAGACTCACACTGGCTTGTGTCCCGTCACCCTCGCCCTCAGACGCTCGCACACTGCATCCCAGATGCACATTCGCACACCATCGTGGCGCGCACACACATTCCATCCCTGACACACACACATTCGTGGTCATACATTCATTCCACAGGGGAGGCAACAGGGGCACACTCGGAAAGTCTTCCCCAGACCTTCACAATCATCCACGAGCCCCATCCAGGGGTACAGGCCAAGGACTGGACACATACTGCTCCCAATCTCCCATACTCTTTCTCCTGGTGTTCCTCCAAAAAGGGTAGGGTCCCGGCACCCCCTGGGGACACTCGCTGAAAGCTTAGCCTGCTCAAGGCACCTGGGCAGGTGGGGGCCTACCCAGGGCCCTCTTGGGGTCCTAATGACTCTGCCAGGCCAAGGATAGAGCCTGTGAGTGCCACCAATAGCTTCAAGCTTTGTTTCCCAGCCCCTAGAGCAACAGGCGAAGGTAGGGGGTGGGAGTGTTGTGTGTGTGTTTTTTCCTTTAAGGGGGAAGAAATTAAATAAAAGATTCTCACACCTCGGCAATATGTTTCTACTTATGGGGTGTCTTAGCACCTGATCAGCAGGCGGGTGGGTCATAAAGTGTCTGCAGGTACCAGCGGGACTGGAGATGGGGACCCCCGTGGGGACCCTGGGACAGAGGCCACCCTCCCGATCGGCTTTCAGAGAATCTCACACTTTTCCCTTTTAAAACACATGGTGTTCCTTTTTAATAACGGCAGTGGCTCCAGATTGGGAAGGGGGAAGAGAAAAAAACTTGTAAAGGCCCCAGCTCGGCAGGAAAGTAGGGGAGGGGGGCTGTCCAAAAGCCCAAGCTAGGGATCTGCTTTAGGGGGTTCCTCTAGGAAGTCCCCCAAACCAGGCCAAGCCCCTCTGCCAGGCTCAGGGGCTGATCCCAGCGGCTCCTCTGCCTGGCCTGGAGTGTGCATGTCCCAGTCCCAGACCGCCTTGGCCCATTGTTTGCTGAGGCCTGGAGAGAGTGCCAATCCCGCCTGGACCCCCAGCTGGAAGGGCTGTAATCCTGTGGTCCTGCGGTGCTAAGGGCGCCAGGTCCTCTTGACACCGTGAGTGTGCACCAGCAGGTAGAATGCATTCCTCCCCATTATATGGAGGAGAAGACTGAGAACCGGGAGCGGGAAGCCAGGTGCGCAGGTACTCAGGGGCTGGGAGGGGCAGCATCCCCCTGACCTTTCCTGCTGGGGTGGAGGGGGTGGGGAGCTGGCGCGTCCCTCCGGCCAGCCTAGCCTTGTTTCCCCCCCTCCATCCCTCCCTCAGCCCTGGGAGGGCAGCTGCAGCTGCTGGCAAACGGGCCACGCCAGGCCAGGCCAGGCGGGTGTGGCAGAGGGGCAGTGCCCCCCAGCCAAGACCCCCCAGAGAGCCCCTTTCTGGCCAGACCAGGACTGCGGGTGGGGGAGCAGGAGGGCGGGACCCACGGGGAGGGCTAAGAGTGGGCCTGGGGTCCGGGCAGGCCCGGCCGCGCCTCCCACCCTGCTGGGGGGGCCCAGGCAGGAAGCGGTGGGTGGGCCGGGGCAGAGACGCTGGCACGCCCGAGTTCATGCCGAAGGAATTCCGAATTAGCGGGCGGCTGGCTGCCTGGGACCTCCGGGGCGGCCCCCTGGCCCCCCGCCCCCTGGCCGCCCCCGCCTCCCCGGCTCTGGCCTGCTCCGCCGGCTCCTTCGCACGGACGCCGAGACCTCCGGCGAGCCCTGGGCCAAGCCCCAAACGCAACTGCGATCCCAGGCTCCAGCAAGACAGGGCCCTCGAGCCAAGTTTGCCCCGGAAAATTGTCAGGGCCAGGCCAGAGAACCGTGTTCGTCCCACCTCGCCCATCTGGGGCGGTGAGGCTGAGGGAGAGGGCCGGCAGATACTGGCATTCATGGGGCCTCCCTAGGGGCCTGGATCGCCTCTGTCCTTGGCGGCCATGTCTGAGAAGCTGGACTGCCCCTGTGCCCCTTCAAGCCCTCCTCACAGCCCCCTGGGGAGTCCTTTTAGAATATAAATGGAACCCCAGGCTCCCTGCTTCCAATCCTGGAATAACTTCCTTCCTTCCTTCAGGTCGGTATCCCTGCTCACATGCCAAACCTCATTTCCCACACCCCTGCCCCAGGGCCTTTGCACTCACCTGTAGAACACCGTCTCCTAGAAGTTTTCACATCTACTCCCTTTCTTTATTCTGGTCTCTGCTCAAATGTCTCCTCCCCAGACAGGACTCCTGGCCTATCCAAGCTGCCCTCTCTGACTTGACTCCCTATGGGCCCTGCTTAACTTGTCCCTTTTTCTTTCTCTTAGATATTTCTTGATCCTCCTCCTTTTCCTCTTCCTCTTTCTCCTCGTCCTCCTGTTCTTTTTTTTTCCCCTGCTGCTTTCTTGAATGTAAGGCCCACAAGGGCAGGAATTTTGTGTTTTAGTCCCCAGGGTGTCTCCAGCTCCTAGACCACTGGAGGTTCTCTGTAAATGGATGACTGATGAATCAGTGAGTTGGACAGGCCCTCATAGCTGCTAAGAAGCCCTTTCTCGGAGTCTCAGAGAAGTAAAGCCACTAAGTCAGGGGTCCTCAGGAGCTAGGAGCATTCAAGCCCAGCTCAGCCTGGCACAGGGATGTCCTGGCACAACGCCCTGGGGTTGATACCAGGATGAACTTCCACAAGGAGATTCAGAGAGGCGTCAGGGGCTTGGCCTGCCCATTCCCCCTCCCTTCTCTGAGCTGTGGTTTCCCATTGGCTAATAGGTTCCTTTTAGGTTCTGATCACCAGGAAGGGAAACTGCTGGCTGCCCTCATGGCTGATAGGAAAAGAGGCACCCCTGCCAGCCCCCAACTCTCACAACCCAGCTGAGGGCCTCCCTTCCCACCTGACCTTCACAATGACCCAGACCTTTCTCCCTTCTCCTTTGCAGATTAGGGAAACTGAGGCGAGGGAAAGAGCAACAGTGTAAAGTCCCTTTGGATGGGAGTCGGGGGCCTAGAGCTTGCCACCGCCACCTTCATCTCCAGTGACTGCAGAGCAGGACTTTGGAGACCGACAAATCTGGGTTTAACTAGTATATCCCTCCAACAGTTGGTGAACTAGGGCAAGAGAACTCGAACTTTCAGAGCCTCTGCTTAAGATGAGCAGGATTTGATGAGAAAATACAGGGAAAGTCCTGGCCCGGTGTGCATGCATGCGCGCATGTGTTATGCACAAGTGGAGGACAATTTGCTACTGAGCTACCCCTTCCCAGTCCTTTTAATTTTATATATTTGTTTTAGTTGCAGATGGACACAATACCTATATTTTATTTATTTATTTTTATGTGGTGCTGAGGATCCAACCCAGAGCCTCACACGTGCCAGGCAAGGGCTCTACCACTGAGCTACAGCCCCAGCCCCTCCTTTTTATTTATTTTTTTTATTTTGAGATAGGGTTTTGCTAAGTTGCTGAGGCTGGCCTCAAACTTGTGATCCTCCTGCCTCGGTCTTCCAAGTCAGCTGGGATTACAGACCCACCCAGTATTTAAAACTCAACAGTGCTCAATAAATGGTGCTCTTAATGGTTCATCTAGTAGGAACAGGGCTCTCTCTTTTTTAAAAGTGCCTTCCCTTCACAGAAATACCTACTATGTGTGAGACTCTGGGAGGTCAAAGAAAGAACTCACAAATTTTGTTTCTAGTTGCAAAAGAGGGGTGGGGAGGGAAAGAAGAAGAGCAGAAGGAGAAGAAGAAAACAGGAAAAAGAAAGTTTATCAGACTATGTGCAAAGCAAGAATCACTTGGATCTGTGGGGCTTTTATGTCTGACTTGCTTTTTTGCTATTGGGGATTGAACTCAGAGACGCTTTACCATTAAATCATATCCCTAACCCATTTTATGTTTGATTTTGAGTAAGCATCCCACTAAGTTACTTAGGGCCTCAGTGATTTGCTGAGACTGGCCTCAAATTTTAGATCCTTCTGCCTCAGCCTCCGGAGTTGCTGGCATTGCAGGCTTGCGCCACTGTGCCCAGCTCTGTCTGACTTTTTTCACTGCTCAGAGAGACTTGAGCAAGTCAATGATGGTGTGACTTGCAAGGACCTGAGTTGTGGAGTCAGACAGATGTGGGTTGATCTTGGCTTTGCCATCAACCTTGGACTGGGCACTTGACCTAATCACTCCTCAGTTTCCTTATCTATAAAATGTGTGAGTGTGGGTATGGGGGTGAACAACGTCTCAGGACTCCCACGGGCCCTGGAAGTCCTGGCCTGGAGGAGGATTCGTGTCGGCTTTTCCCCACGGCTGACAAACACTCCTCTCTGATCCCAGACACCGCAGTGATCAGCCCTCAGGACCCCACGCTCCTCATCGGCTCCTCCCTGCAAGCCACGTGCTCGCTGCACGGGGACCCTCCTGGGACCACGGCCGAGGGTCTCTACTGGACCCTCAACGGGCGTCGCCTGCCCCCTGAGCTCTCCCGGGTGCTTAATGCCTCCACCCTGGCCCTTGTTCTGGCCAACCTCAACGGGTCCAGACAGCAGTCTGGGGACAACCTTGTGTGCCACGCCCGCGACGGCAGCATCCTAGCTGGCTCCTGCCTCTATGTTGGCTGTAAGTGGGTCCCCAGGACACCCAGGGGCAGATCTAGGAGTACCATCACCCTCTGGAGAAGGGAAGCACGAATCCTGGGTCCTCTGGCTTGGGGCTGGGAAGTGGGTGGGTTCAGAAGCGCATGTCTCAGGTGGGAGGAGAACTTGGAGGCCCCACCCCTCATTCTCCAGGTCCTATGGGGCTGGGGGTGCAGCAGTGGTAGAGAATATACAAGGCAAATGCAAGGTCCTGGGTTCCATCTCTAGAATGAGAGGGAGGGAGGGAGGGCCCATGCGCGTGGTCATCCTCAGCTCTCTGGCAGCAGGGCTGAGATTGCCTTCCTTGTCCTTTTTCCACTTCAGGGTAGGGGCCCAGCCAGCCATCAGGACCCTGCCACCTGCACAGCTAGCTCAGACCCTCAGCCTTCTGCACCCTTCCTTTTCCCCAGTGCCCCCAGAGAAGCCCTTCAACATCAGCTGCTGGTCCAAGAACATGAAGGACCTCACGTGCCGCTGGACTCCAGGGGCCCACGGGGAAACTTTCCTTCACACCAACTACTCCCTCAAGTACAAGCTGAGGTTGGTGATGGCCCACCGGGGGCCTGTGTCCGACTGGCTGTGTGACTCTGGAACAATGCTTGCCTTCTCTGAGCCCCTATGTCCCTATCTCCACCCTGGGGCTCTCCTGGTGAGGTCTGGGGACCAGAAGGGGCCCTCATGTGTCCTGGCTCCCCTCCTGCCCCTGCAGGTGGTACGGGCAGGACAACACGTGTGAGGAGTACCACACGGTGGGCCCTCACTCCTGCCACATCCCCAAGGACCTGGCTCTCTTTACACCCTATGAGATCTGGGTGGAGGCCACCAATCGCCTGGGCTCAGCGCGCTCTGATGTGCTCACGCTGGACATCCTGGACGTGGGTGAGCCCCCAGGCATGCCACAGCTGTGGCCTCTGTCCCCACTCCTGAGGTCCCGCCTGAACCCCCCCCCCCAGCTGTGGTTCCAACTCTAGACCTCTCCCTGCTGGCTGGGGGCACAGCGGGACATCCGCTCCTTATTTCAAAGTCTGCTCCTTCAGCCAGAATGTCCCTGCTCTGCAGAGAACACCTGGCTTGGTCGCCCCCACCCTCGGCAGCCCAGGTGTGCAGGAGAAGGCCCAGGGGAGCGGGGAGGGGGCGCCCAGGTCTGGAGGCGCCCCAGGAAGCCAAGGCCTGGAGCTGGGGGGCGCGGGTGGGAGGCAGGAAGTGGATGATCTGCGAGCAGAATTGGGCCTAATCTAATTAGGGTGTTTCTCAGCCCCAAGAAGGCCTCGGCTTTAACCCTTTCTGTCCCTCACCCAGGCCTCAGTGGGAGACACCAGCCTGGCCTACTGCCCACGGGGCCGGCAGAATAGGCCTGGGCACCCCCTGGCTGGTGGCCCCACCCCCAAGCCTATTTCCCCTTCCTCACACCCTAAACTCCAGTGAGCAAGTTCTACCTGTTTTCCCTGTGCACCCAGCAAGCTTCAAATGGGAAGGAACTGGAGGTGGGTGGAGGAGGGTCCCAGGGGTCTGTCTGGGCATCAGCCCCCTGGGTCTGAAAACGATAATACCATTAGCCAGGCAGTGTCTAATTTTTTCCCCCTGAGGTGTGCTGGGAATGGAACCTGGGGCTTCCACACATGCTAGGCAAACTCTCCAGCACCGAGCTACACCTCCAGCCCCAAGAGTCTGCTGTTATCTAGCCCTTTGAGGACAGGATTATGTTTTTCCCCCCATCAGATACTAATGATGATAACAAACTGGGCTTCGTGGTGCATGCCTGTCATCCCAGCTACTTGGGAGGCTGAGGTGGGAGGATTGCAAGTTTGAGGCCAGCCTCCGCAATTTAGCAAGGCCCTAAGCAACTTAGTGAGACCCTGTCTCAAAATAAAAACAAAAAGGGCTGGGGATGGGGCTCAGTGGTCAAGTATATCTGGGTTCAACTCCCAGTGCCAAAAAAAAAAAAAAGCGATAACAGTTGACATTAATTGAGCCTTCCTAGGTGCTGAGTGTTTCTGGAATATTGTATCATGTAATCCATCCATCCTGGCAGTGGGAGAAAGAGGGGGGCCTGAGGCAGGTGCCACCTAAGCCCCGTGTCCTGGACTACACTCCTGGGGGATTGGACCCCAGACATGCCCAGGCTCTCATGGGACCAACCAAGAAGACCAGACCCTGCTCCTTCCCGCAGTGACCACGGACCCCCCACCCGACGTGCATGTGAGCCGAGTTGGGGGGCTGGAGGACCAGCTGAGCGTGCGCTGGGTCTCACCGCCAGCTCTCAAGGATTTTCTCTTCCAAGCCAAGTACCAGATCCGCTACCGCGTGGAGGACAGCGTGGACTGGAAGGTGCCCGTCCCTTCCCCAGCCCTGCCCCTGGGCCCCAGGCCCTCCCTCTGACCTGACCCTCACTGTCCAGGTGGTAGATGACGTGAGCAATCAGACCTCGTGCCGCCTGGCGGGGCTGAAGCCAGGCACCGTGTACTTCGTGCAAGTGCGCTGCAACCCCTTTGGCATCTATGGCTCCAAGAAGGCGGGGATATGGAGCGAATGGAGCCACCCCACAGCCGCCTCCACGCCCCGCAGCGGTGAGCACCCTCCCAGGGCCGGGTGCTCCTTGGGCTGCTCCAAACCACCCGGCATCTGGGTCTCTGTTTCCTCATTTTCTCCAAGATAGCAGAGGTCTCCAACTGTTGGCCCTCAGGGCCCAAGGTGGCCCCTGAACCTATTTGGTCTGGCATTTGGGGGCGGGGGAGTTTGACCCACCTGGAAGTTTGACCCAACAGGAAGTTTTTACACAAATATCCTAGATTGCCTAAGAAATGAAATTCTGTAGAAAATGCAACCCAGCCCGTATTGCTGATGGCCCCCACAGCAGTGGTCACCCCTTCACGGCCCCTCAGCATTTGCCCCATCTTCAGTCCTGAGAGCAAGTGAGTTTGAGATCCCTGCTTGTGAGGCCAATGACCTCAGTGTCCCCTTCTAATCAATAAGTGAGGAGGGTGTTGGAGAGATTAGGATCTGACATCCAGTGTCATCGGGAGTTTCTCTGAGCCTGTATTCTCTCCTTTCGAAATGGATAAAAATCAGTTACTTGGAATGTCTGGCCTCAGCATTCCTATCTGCAAAATGGGGTTGAGAGCCACACCTGCCTCAAGCTGTTGCAAAATTTAGGTGACATAAGTCATGACAAGTGCCCACATGGTGGTAGTTGCCACCTTAGTATTTGCTCCCAGTAGGTAAGGAAGCTCCCATCCCCCACACTCCCTCCTGATTTCACCCTGAGGGAGGCCCCCTTTATTCAGATGAGGGCACTGAGGCCCTAAAAGAGCACATAGGGATCTAGACTCAGTTCCAGGCCCACATTGGTGGGATGGTGGGGAAACTGAGGTCCAGAGACAGAGACGTCCCGACTCAGGGTGGGGCAGAACCACGCTCCAGCTAGCTCCCCAGCCCCCAGCCCGGGGCCCCTCCAGGTTCTGGGATGGGAGGGAGCAAGCACAGCTGGGAGGGGCTGAGCCTTGGCCCCTGCTCGTGCCCAGCACCTGCGATTCTTGCACGGGAGCCAGCAGGCGGCTGAGTCCGCCGGGGAGGCCGGGGGAG